TTAATTTTTAATAAATTAAAAGATATAATAATTAATTAAAATAAAAATATATAATATTAATAATTAAGGGTCCAACAATAACACCAATCCGAAAGAAAAGCCCGAAGCAGAAAATAAAATGGGCAACGAAACAAACAAAGGGGAAACAAGTCAAACCATTTCTTTGGGTTGGGCCTATGCCATTTGCGAGGAAGATTTTCTTTGGGCTGAGCTGGGTTTGGCACTAGCGCAACTTGTCCCGACCATTTCTTCCGTTGGGTTGGGCTAGATTTGTCCTGCATTCTGTTCCTGTGTAACTGTGTCTTTGATTCTACATTGGCTACAATGAGTAAGGTTATGAGGAGGTTAGTTAAAGCTACGGGGTACAGTGATGCTATTGCAGCTTTTCGAGAGAGAAAAATTTGGTGTTCGCCGAGATGGAGAGGCAGCTGCTGTGTTAATGGCTGCTTTGGTTAAGGGGAATGCCTTAGACAGTGTTGATCATGCTTATCAAGTGTTTATTGAGTTCAAGGAACTTATACCTCTGACCTCAATTTGTTTCGATATCTTGATAAATGGTTTTTGCAAAGCTAAGAAGCTAGAAGATGCTAGGAAGATTATGGATGAGATGGAGAAACATGGGTATCAACCCAATGTTGCTTCTTATACCAGCTTTATTGACGCTTACAGTCGCGAAAGGGATCGTAGCAAAGTTGATGCTGTATTGGATGAAATGCAAGAGAAGGGTTGCAAGCCAAATATAGTGACTTACACACTCATTATGAAAGCTCGCTGTGAGGCAGGTGAGATTACTCAAGCATTGGCGGTTTATGAGAAGATTAAGAGTGATGGTTGTTTACCGGACAATTCATTTTTCAGTTTATTGATTTCCATCCTGAGCAAGGCAGATAGACTTAATGATGCACGTAAAATATTTGAGGACATGGAAAGGCAAAATATAAAGCCAAATGTATGGGCATATAATGCCATGATTTCTTCTGCTTGTGCACATTTGATAGAAGAGGGGACATTGAAATGGCTACAGAAAATGGAAGAGGATTCATGCGAGCCAGATCGTCTTACTTATCCGCCATTGCTTCATTTGTGCTTCAGGAAGAATAGGATGAAGGTGCTGAACTTTCTGTTAAACCACATGTTTAAGAACGACCTAAGTATTGATCTTGGAATATATGCCCTTCTGGTGAGTGGGTTTTGTAAGAGTGGGAAACTTGAGCTGGCTTGCTCATAGTTCGGGGAAATGGTGCTTAAGGGAATGGTCCCCTATCAATCAGCATACAAAGTGCTGGTCAAGGAACTTGGTGAAAAGAACATGGTCGAAACAAAGCAATGGATTGAAAATTTGATGGTCCAGGCAGAAGAGCGAAGGAAGCAGAGAGTCCTGGGTGTATAAACATAAATGCTACCGTTAAGATTGAAAATGAATTTCTTGAGTTGGTAAAATTAAAGTCCTTTTTGCACAAACCCTAAAGCATACTCTTTGTAAGGGATTAAAGTCTTTCCATTTTGATGTTTTCTTCTCCAGTCTTTTAACTCTCTCCCTTACAGGCTGTGGTTCTAGAGGCAAACAAAATGTTAAATTATCTTCTGCATTTCATTTAGAATTCAATACATATGAAAGGAAGGTTTATTCCATTTTTATTTATTTGGAAAACAGAATCGTTCCCAAGAATTCTAAAACTGAATACATAAAAAGAATATCACAGTTCCCTTCCACTTCCTCCCAGTGCCCTTCTCTTGTAGGTGTCTTTGGAGAATACAGAGTTTAAGCTAGAGCGTGTAGATAACTTCCTTGCATTTGGCTTCGGCCAGCAGCCTAGTCTTTCTAGGAAATCTTCGATTAACCTACAACAAAGTCATTTTCACCTTCTTAAGATATCAATTTATCAATATGAAGGAAGAACAGTAGACAACAACACACAAAAAGGCACTCACGCTGCACGTTGCCTTTTGCGAAGATGCCAGCTCATGGTCAAGGAAAGAATCTTCAAATCGAAAACTCAACCAAATATAGAGATCCAGCACCTTAGTTTTCCCAAAGAAAAGATGAGGTTAGCAGCGAATGCATTTAGTTTAAGAGTTGAAAATGGATTTACATTGCCTTTTTTACAACCGAAAAGGTCCATGATTAGCTAATTCTGGGAGAAAAAAATTACCTGGTGAATGGATTCAAACTCCTTCATTTTACTGTGTGTATTTGGCACTTGATGTGTACCTGGTGTAAATATTTCTCGAAGCCAAACAATGCCTTTCTTAGCACAATTTTCTGCAAACTGATCAAAGGAGATAGATAGACCATCTCAGTTTCTTCTTTCAAAGTAATTTTGAATTACATAACAATTTTAGATAAAGAACTGGTATAAGAATTTACCTGTGTTAGACCCTGAGCTGAAATCTCATCATCCATGTCAACTGGACTGCATATCACAAATTCTAAACAATAAGAATGCGATCAAGTTGTTCATGGCATTTGCTACCTGAATTGTTTGGTCAACCAAGCTGGTAGAAAAGCTTACTGGACTGGACAGACTTATTATTCTAAGCAACTTCCTACAGTTTGAAGGCAATATGTTACCTCAAACAAAAAAGATACTTCTCATGCAACCCGAGAGGCAATTGATCAACAAGAGCAGCAACTTTCTGGTGTCAATACTGGCATTAATCCTTGTAGATGAAATAAAAATTGAAAGAAGACATATAAAGTATGACTGAAGAAACTTACCAATATGTCTTCGCAGTTGGAAATAAATTAATTTTCTGATAGTTTTGCATTGTCTAGGAAATGCTCCTGTGGAAAAATATTACAAAGAGAGGGTCAATTTACCCCTTTTTTTTGGGAGGGTGGGGCGGCTGCAGTAGTGCATATATAATCCCTTAACCATCTCTTTTGTCAATACCACATTAATTATATACAATCAAAATAAGGAGAGCAAGATAGTCATGGCCAACCTACCAATATCTGGTAGAAACCACTATTCGGATGCAAACATGAATACATATATAATAGATCAAAGCTTGGAAGCAATCCAGCTCGCTGCATCATATAAGTTACTCAGATTCAGTAAACGGCAAAATGTAGAAACACATAAAAGTGTAGCCCCATTTGTGTTTACAAAACCAAGTTAAAGCAGATTTTCATGAGAATTCCAAATGACAATGCCATCACCTCTAGAACAGGAGACGGGGCCGTTAATGATGAATGAAGCAATGGTAGGTCATCTGCACGTAAACAAGTCACTCCACCAACAGGAAATTTGGATCCATACCTGTCAGCTCGGCCTGGAAAATCAATAAGTTCATTAAAATGAAAAAAGTGAAACATATAGAAAATACCATACTGTATGGATCATCAACTTTAACGTGGGTGACCAAAACAAAGAACCTTAATGTCAGTTTTCAGCAGTGGGCTAGCACTATTAACACTATATATCCGCACCATGCAACTTGTATGAATGAGAAAACTGAAAAAGAAAAAAAATTCAACAGAATACTGCCAATCCGAATTCAACTATATTAAAATTTTAGTTTGATTTCCAAGTTACCTGCAATCTGCTTTATCTCTGGTACTGTAAGCTCCCTCATTTCAACACCATCAAACTTTTTCATAGTGGAGAATATGATCCTCAAAATATTCAGATTAAGACCCATCCCAATTGCATCACTGGCGACAAGCACATCAAACTCAATAGTTTCATCATTAAACATCATTGCCTGCAATCTTAAACAGCATAACAAGAAACAATAAATGATTAAGATAGAAGATTCATCATTGCATGACAATAAAAATAGCATATCAAGATTGAGACTCATACTGAAGAAGAAAAATAAGTAGAAGAAGAATGGCACCTGTCTTGTACGAGTCTCTGGTGGCAACGAACCATAAACCACAGAGCAAAGATGTTTTCCCCCATCCTGAATTTGCTTCTGGAAAAGTAGAAAAGATCAGAAATTGCTTTCAGAAGAGGAGAAAAGAAGGGGCACAGGATTGGAGAGAAGCAAAGTTTGAAATATATATATGCACACCCCAATAGCAAAGTTAAAAGGAAAATTCTTTCTTCAAAAATAAAAATTGCAGGATCTAAAACATTAAAACATATGAGAAGTAAAGCTTTATTTGATATGTTAAAACTATGCAGTTTTTCATGTTGAAAAAAAAAAATTCCAAATTATGAAAATACAATAAATGGGAGGATATTAAGGCAAGGGGGGATGTACTTAACAACTAACCCACTGAAACCACTCAATAGCAATCAAGCAGACAGACACACAGAAAGAAAGAAAGGGAGAGGGAGGAAGAGTACATAGACAAAAAGGAGGAAACAGTAAAATTTAAGATAAGAAGTTCAACAAAATTGGAAGTTACACCAAACCTTAAATTTATAGAACTGTTGACGTGAAAATGTTACAACGCAATCTCCTGTTTTTATATTAGAAAAAGATCCAAGAGGAACTTCTAGAGGAACTAGTGGTGAAAGTCTTCCATAAGGTTGGACCTGGGACATTAAGCATACAAAGATTACAAATTTACAATAGAAACAAACAGAAAAAGAAAGTTAACAAGCATGCCATTTTGTTTTAACATAAATTTACCTTAACAAGATAAAAAAATAAATAAATAAATTAAAAAATTAAAAAAATAAAAATAAAAATAAAGAAAGTAAAAATTTAAAAATTGATCAATCATACATTCCAGAATATTACAGTACCTCTACATTATCATCAGTCACTTTCAGCATTTCCTGAATAAGAGGAACAGCAGCTGCATCCCCATAAAGATGAAGTTCATCAGCAGCAATTCCCAATAGAGCCCGTGTGAATGCAAAACCCCTTGTTTTACAGCCCAACATCTATAAAGAACAAGAAAAGATCAAAAGAATGAGAAATAAGAAAGAGCAATCTATAAATAGCTATTCCCTTTTCCAAACAGCAACAGACTGACAATTTCTTAAATCACTCCAACGTATCAACTTCAAATTTAATTAATGCAACTGTTTTGTGTAAGGATGCTGAAAATATGGCATGAGAAAATAGCTGATTAAAGAGAAACTTGCCTGTATTTCATCAATAACAGCACAATGGTAATGGGAGGTTACATCAGCCATCTCCACTGTGACAGCTTTGTGCCTTGCACCATCAACTTCGTCTCTCTCTCTCTTGTCCAGTAATTAGATCACAAGGAATTTTTGCCTTGTTCATTCGTTTTGCCACTTCCCACGCTAACAATCTTAAAGGACCACAATATATAGCTGCAGAGAGCCAGAGCCCATAACAAAGGGGAGTTGGGGACGAGTCAACCATTTCTTTGGGTTGGGGCTATGCCATTCTGTAAGGAAATTTTTGTTTGGGTTTAGAACTTTGGCAACTCGTCTCAACTCAACCATTTCTTCTGTTGGGTTTGGCTAGATTTGTCCTGCATTTTGTTCCTGTGTAATTGCGTCTTTGATTCAACCTCTAATTTTCGTTATCCTCTTCTGGTTTAAGGTCAAATATGATACGAAATCACCAAATCTTGAAGCTCATCTCCACTTTCCGACAACAAAGATCTGCGAGCAACAATGCAAGGCGTTACATCCCCTTCAACCCTCTATGGACCAATGCAGAATCATTGCCTTCGGCTAACTCATCCTCTACCGCCGACTTATCCCTCTTCCGGACTTGGGTCAATAGCCAGAAGCCGGAAATACCGACCCAGATGAAGATTTCATGATCCCTTCACTTTCTAGTTGGATTGAGAGCCAGACCAGCTAGGTTATGTACTTCCCAAATGGCGAACCTGATTCTGATGTTGATCGAGTTTGCGAAATCCTTAAGAAAGAGTATTCATGGTATAATAAAGTTGTTGAAGCGCTAAATGGGTGCGAGGTAAGTGTGTCAAACAGCTTAATAGAGAAGCTTTTGAAGAGATTTGATAATGATTGGATCCCATCTTGGGCGGTTTTCATTTGGATAAAATTACAAACAGGTTATGAGCATACCACTGAGGGAATGGTCCCCTACTAGTCAACATACAGAGTGCTGGTAAAGGAACTTGGTGAAAGGAACGTGGTTGAGAATTCAAGCTAGAGCGTGTAGATAACTTTCTTGCGTTTGGCTTCGCCAGCAGCCTAGCCTCTCTAGGAATTCAAATATAGAGGCCCAGCACCTTCAGTTGTCCCAAAGAAAAGATGAGGTTTTAGCAGCGTCAAGGTTTTATTGAGTTGTAAGAAACATACACAGAATCAGCAAATAGAGTTAGAAGTGAACAAATGAAACATCACAACTCAAGGAAGATGGGATCAACAAAAGCATCATGCATTGGATCTGACAGCCAGAGTTTAGCTATGTGATGGGAAGATGTGGTGTGGCGATGGGTTTCTTCAATCAGCCAGATGGTGGCTTCAGCTTTACAAGGATGAACGATGATATCCAGAGGCGTGTCTTTATCCTCACTTCCAAATCTCAGTTGGTCCCACTGTTTTAGGAGAATGTTGTGGAGGTAATGCAAGGGTTGGCCATATAATTGCTTGATCAATCTACCTAATCCCATCCATGATGTAAATGGGGTGACAGAGCCCCGCTGTGCTGGGATAGGCACTTCCTTCATATACTCCTGATACAATTCTGCCCTTTTCATCAACATACCCGTTCAAAGAAACTTCAGGCAACATTAACTCGCCCATCTGTGTCCATAGCAATCAACTGGGGCATTGAAGCTGTTGTGCAAAGACAGTACACATTAAAGAGTTTCTGCATTTTATTCTTTGTAGCAGCAACAAATTGCTGCTTGCTTGTGTATAGACAGTTATTGGATAAATAAATTCACTTTTTAACCAAAAAAACAGAACTCACCCATCTAGGTTGATTTTAAACCCAATATCTAGCACTAGCAAAAGTAAACAAAACAAGAACAATTCTTCCATGAAAGAATACTACTAATTAATTCTACGAGAATCAGTCAAATTATAACATCACATTACATTTCAGTGAATCAAACACAACCGTTACCCCTTTCAGACAACTTCCTAAAACAATTCTGTGATTCAGCACCTATTACATTGCTCGTCGATACTACATCATTAAGAGTAGACAAGAACAAGATAGGTAATCTGTTCCTTCAGCCAGTTACACTAGAAAAAGCCAATTATACAGCTAAAGCACCCATTGCCATTAGTGTTTTTGCTTCCTGTCCAAACAGTTACAATTCTCACAACAACAACAACCGCCGAACTTCTTGTAGAACTGAAGATGAGATTGTATCTAAAATCCCACATTATAAAAAGCAACTAATTACCTTGCCAGAAACTATTACCATTGTTACAGTCAAATGTTGCTTTCTTGCTAAGAGCAAGACAGTAAGAGGACATGAACCGGAAAGAAAATGACAAATTTGGAGACTCAAACAAAAGCGAGATGAAACCCATGTCTTGAAAGTACCTTGAGGGAACAATTCTTAGGGTGGTTGCTCAGTAGGCGAATTACTGGTTCCATCCTTATCATCCACCTCTGCTTCTGAAGAAGATTCATCAGGAGATATAATATCAACCTCAGCACTCCACAACATTGCTCTCTTCATGGGTGAAGAAAACGCAGTCCTGAAGTGAACAAAATCCACACATATTTTCAATTCCAAGTCAAATCCCACACAACCAAAGTAGAGAATGAAACGGTCGCCGAATCAAACAAAGAAAGTTGATTTTTTATTTTTATTTTTTTTGGCTTATTCTCACCGATACTAATTGAAACGGCAGAGTAAGAGAAAAGGAAATGAAAGTTCCTGGTAAAAACCCTAGAAATTAACAGAGGGATCCTGCTTTGTGCAAACTGTAAAATACTTTCCGTTAGGTTTAGCTGGGTTTTTAGCGACTGGTTTAAAGTCTCGAAGACTCTACCGTTTCCTCACTTGGATTGAGCCTACGATTTTACAAGTGCTTTATTTGGGCTGGTCAGGGCCTAAGCCTTTTACAAGTTCTTCCGTTGGGTTGGCCTGGATTTGTCAGGTAGAGGAGAAACCTATTTCCTGTAAGTATGCTACCAGTTTTATTATTATTATTATTATTATTTCTATATGCTACCAATTTGGGTGAGTACTACGTCTAAACTGTGAGAAAACTGGATAAGTAGTGGTATGGAGAGAGTATAATAGTAAGTATCAAGTTAAATAATATGTATAGGGGGTTTAAAATTATTTATTTGACTTGCTTAATTCATATGTTATATGTGTTTGTATAACTGAAGTTTTAATTAGATTTGTATTAATTATACTTCATCTGACCCAAAATAATAGATATTGTTAAATTTTATCTTTAGATTAAAGATTTAGAGACAATTCACTTAATAACTTTTCTACAATAGTCTGAGTGGAAATATCCCTCTAGAGTTGACCAATCTGAATTTCTTAGAGGTCTTCAATGTGTCATACAATAACTTATCCGGCCATATTCCAATGAAAGGACAATTTTCAACATTCGAGGAGAGTAGCTATGAAGGAAACCAGTTTCTTTCTAGGTTGCCATTGGAGAAATGCTGCATCATTTATACTGAGACACCACATTTAGAATTATTACCTTTGGATGCAACTAAAGGGAAATGGTATGAAGTTGACCTTCTTGCTTTCCGTGCATTTTTTTCCCAGCATATACAGTGTTCTTTCTATTGATTGTGTCTCTACTCTACATCAATCTTCATTGGCTTAAAAGGCCACTTTATTTCATATCAAACATTAACTACCTTCTAAATTTGGCAATCTTTGACATTTTGAGTCGTTGATGAAGATTTGTAGTAGTCCATCTTTTATTTGGTTCTTGCAACTTTATATACCATGTAGTCAGTTTAGCCCTTTGGTTACAACAACAATGCTTAGTTATTGTGTATACATTTGGGAATATGAATTTGAAGAGGGTATGTGCTTGAGCTTAGGGTTTAAGTTCAAATGAAGTTTTTGTTTTTACATGATGAGAGTGCATTTCATTGCATGGATTTGGATATCTATAATTCAAAGGCCTAAATACATGTATTTGAAACTTGAACGTCCTTTCTCCAATCCAAGAATTTGAAGGTGTATTTTACAAATTTAAGTTTGGCTATATCCTAATTTAAAATGAAAAATTGTCAAACATAAACTAGTGATTGCTCTAGGGCATTGTTCTCTTCATGATTAAGAAAGATAGAGTACTAAAGTGAACAAAATCACATGAATTTCAACCCAGAGTTAACTCCCACACTTAATAAATAATAGAGTTATTGTCACATTTTAAATAATTAATATCATATTTTTTAACATAATTATTTATTATATCTTTACATTATATGTTTTTTTAAAGTTTTATATTTTTTAATTTTTAATAAATTAAAAGATATAATAATTAATTAAAATAAAAATATATAATATTAATAATTAAGGGTCCAACAATAACACCAATCCGAAAGAAAAGCCCGAAGCAGAAAATAAAATGGGCAACGAAACAAACAAAGGGGAAA